AAAAAAAGTTATTGAACTGACCTGTCCTTTTGTCTGTATAATGCTAATTTGAGATTTTCACTTGAGACTGCTTGTATTGCTTCACTTGACATGGAAAATATTGTTTTGAAATTTTATTATTATTATTATTTTTTAAAGATTTTATTTATTTGACAGAGAGAGCGAGAGAGCACAAGCAGGGGGAACAGTAGAGGGAGAGGGAGAAGCAGGCTCCCCGCCAAGCAGGGAGCCCGATGCGGGGCTCAATCCCAGGACCCTGAGATCATGACCTGAGCTGAAGGCAGACGCTTAACGACTGAGCCACCCAGGCACCCTGAAATTTTATTAAATATATTTTAAAACTGTCATCTAAGCTTTAGGGCTAAACTCTTACCCTCTCATTAAATATTAACTATTTTCACAAGACTTACCTTCTTTCAGGCAGATCACTTTTATCCTGAGATTTAATATTGTAAGAACCAGATTTGTAAAGCCAATATAACTGTCCTTAAGATTAGTCTTGGATTTTAAATGGCAGTTTCAGCCTAACGTGTCAATTCCTGTGACCAGGATAGCAGTAAAACCATATTGTACAACCAGTTTTGAGTTTTGTGAATTTTGAGTTTATGTGAAGCAGGAAATTTAACTGTTATTTATGGTAATGGAGCAAAGAAGGGATATCTCCTTTCTCAAGTCTTAGAAGGTATATTGCTGTGTGTTCTGAATTAGAAAAAATAAGATTGCCTTCAGTTTTAAAAATTCTGAGGGTTTTGTCAGGGAAATTCTCAAGACAGATTGACATTATTTAAGAAAACTGAAATCCATCAATTATGAATTTTAGTAGTCCTTTACTCTAAGGTATTTATTTTTGGTCATTATGTATTTTTCTCTCTATCTGCCTTTTATATAGAGAAGATTAAGTCATATCAAATACGGAAGTCTGGGTTTGTAATACAAATACAAGATGTAATGGTACATTGTGCCTTTCAAAATGTTTATGCCATTTTGACTTTTAATAATGATTATCTTGGGGCACCTGGGTGGCTCAGTTGGTTAAGCGACTGCCTTCGGCTCAGGTCATGATCCTGGAGTCCCGGGATCGAGTCCCACATCGGGCTCCCTGCTCCGCGGGGAGTCTGCTTCTCCCTCTGACCCTCCTCCCTGTCATACTCTCTGTCTCTCTTTCTCTCTCTCGCAAAAAAAAAAAAAAAAAAAAAAAATCTTAAAAAAAAATCTTAAAAAAAAATAATTATCTTAAAATTTTTAGGTTAAAAAAGTTCCCTTAATTACTTTATTTGAATTTTTTTCAAATATTTTCTTACGGTCTGATATTTATAGGTGAAAGATTATTCATAATAGTGGTTAAAATGAATATAGACACATTTGTTTAAAAACCTTTGATATTCTTCTTTGTAGTAGTCAAATATTTTTGCTCTTGGTCTTATCACAAAACACAAATTGGAAAATTTTTAAGAGAATTACTTCACATTTAAAAGCAGCACTATATTGTGGTTTTATAAGGTAATCACAATAGCAGTAGCCAACTTGCAATTAAATATTTTTTTATTCTAGAAAGCTAAAGTAGCCTTTGTATTTAAAACCAAACAACAAAAAACAAAGCAGCACCTGCTTAATAAGTTACTTTTGAACAAGATTATTATTTAAATCCATAATTAAAAGTAACATCATGTAAACTTTTTCTTCAACAGATTTCTTGAAAATAACTCATTATTACTATTTAGCCAGTTTGCTTTATTTGAATATAAAAGAATTTTAGTGATTCAGTTTCAATCTATAGGCATAATAAATTAGAAGTGGATGCCTAATTGTACAGACTAGTTGTAGATATTTGGTAAATTTTATATGTTGGTTATTGATTATAACCATAGATGTTGGTTTCTAAAAAATTATTATTAAAGCTAAAATCAGTGAATGACTTCTTGAACCTAACTTTCTCGAAGGAGTCAAAAAGACCTTAAGTATCTTTGAAAATCTTGAGTGAATATATGAACATCATCATGTTGTAGAGTATCTTATTTTAGCTAGAAAGGTGTGTTTTTTTTTTTAATGTTCTTTTTAAACATATACTTTGATATCAGTTTGGTAGTTACTTGTTTATCTCTCATAAAGTTCAAAGTACATAAAATTCCCTTATTTGTATATTTTAGGTATGTGAAGTGTATAACAGCGAAAGTGTACTATAAAAATAAAAAATTAAGGTAATGATATGAAAACATGTCTAGGATATTAAAGAAATTTTATGGAAATCTGGCTGTTAACTTGGAATATGCATTTTCAAGTGTTTTCTCTCATATTTTCAAAAGTATAACAAAATGTATGGAGAATATGAATCTTAACATTAAAATAGTTGTCCATGGGCCAAATACAATTTTGAAATGTGTTTAATCTATTCCACACAGTTTTTTTTTAATTGGAATTATTTGCCAACACTTTAAAGAGATTTCACATAAAATTCTGGATTTCTAGCTTGTCTTGAATAAGCCAAAGCAGAGTAAGGGTGTTTCAGTCATTCACAGACCCCATCCTCTTATACCCCTTTGCTTTATACCTTGCCTGTTTGTCTCATTGACTTACTGAGAGCCAAATATAGTGCCGGAGTAAAGAATGTGAGCTCTAGAGCTAGACAAGATAGTTTTCTGGCTTCAGTACTTACTACTGGTGTGACTGTAGACAAATTAGTTAATCTCTCTGTACCTCAGTTTTCTCTTTGGTAAAATGAAAATGATGAGGAAGGTATGTCAGTAGGGCTGTTGGGAGGATGAAATGATGAATATGCATGAAGCATTTAGAGTGGTTTTGACTTATAGTCATTGCTCAATCGACGTTCATTTCAATTAATAATGCTCTTTGCTTGACCCCTTTAGGCATTTGAGCTTGATGGTCCTTACTTCTCCATAGCAGAGGACTTTATTTCTTAATCTGTTTATTCATTTAATCAAAATTAATCAGATTCTGTTTTATAATATATGTAACTGATCATTTACTTTTTGCTGTCCTCTACTAGACTGTATTCCCCAGAATTCCTTCAGTATTGTAAGTGCTAAATATTTGCACACATAAGCAGCAAATAACTGATAGCTGTCTAGATTTATGGATTTAGGACTTGATTTATAGCTTTAGGAATTCTTACTGTATGTTGGCAGTGAAAGTTTTCTGCTTTCTGTAGTGTTGGTTTTGCTTACCTTCTTGCTTTTGTTTTAGCCACAATCTAAGGTAGGTGTGAGTGTGAGTGGGTGAGAGTTGGAGAGTTCTGGTAAAACTCAGAAAATGTACAAGAGTATTTTACAAAGCGAGAGTTTTAGGGAGAAACTAAGCAGGATAGAGGAGCATGTTGTGTTGGGAAGAGGCTGGTCAAAGATTTGTATATTCATTGGCTTCTCTGGAACCTTTTCTTGGTAAGTGGAGTCCATATCCTGTAAAATTATATACTTGTTTTCATTGGGCTTCTTTTTCCAATTTATCATTCCTCATTTACTCTTCCTATATCATGTCTCTCCCTTCTCTTGAAACTTAAAATTTCATGTGTTACATTATTTTGGATGAAAATTAGTGAGCCCAGTTTATTTTTTTGGAAAATTCTGATTTGGGAAGGTTATATGCAGCTTATAAACAAAGAAGATTTGTAAGTAGTTAGTGTAGCTTAAAAGTTCAATAATAATTAATTAAAAACATCTTTGTTTAAATTGAATCATTTATAGAAATCAGAACCTAGGAGAAAAACCTTCAAAATGAATAAAAAAATAGGTGGTTATTTATATAATCTTGCCTTTGTAAGCATAATAATACTAGAGGTAGAAGCCATAAAGGAGATATAGATATATTTGGGTGCACAGAAATGAAAAATTACTTATGTCACAAAAACACCATGTTATTTGAAGACAGACACATTCTGAGAAAAATATCTGTATCACGTGACAAAGGTTTAATATTCTTAAGATCTAAAGAATGCTTACAAATTATGAAGATAATCATAATAAGAAACTCCATCCACAAAAGATAATAAATAAATGTCAGAGAAAACATATGAATCTTCAGTAATCTCACTAGTTATCAAGCAAATGCAATATAAAATTTGACTATCACACTGGTCAATAAAATGAATTACCCATTCCCATTGTTAATGAGGGTGCAGGGGAATGAATTGTTCTATGTACGAATCTTTCTAGAGCATAATTTGCCAAAACTTATCATAGAGTCTTATTTTTTTAAATACATGTTTGGTCCAGCAGTGACATAAGAATTTATCTTAAGGAAATAATCATAGGTTGGCAGAGATATTACTCAAAGATATTCATTGTGAAATTGTTTATAGTGTTGAACAGCTGAAAGCATTCTGTCTGTTCACTAATAGGGAATTGGTTACATAAATTGGTATAGTTATTTAATGGAATACTAGAGGTCCATTTGAAGTGATAATATGGTCTTTTTTATGGGATGGAAAATATCCACAATAATTTACATAATCAGTATACTTAGCATGTTAGATCACATTAAAAAATATATATTTTAAATGCCAGAACAGAAACAGGAAGGATATGTGTAATAAAATGAAATGTTAACAGGGCTACTATTTTTAGCTAACACAATTATGAATGATTTTAGTTTGTTATACTTTCTATATTTTGAAATTTTCTATTGTAAATGGATATTGTTTTGACAATGAAATAAGAAGATGCTATAAATGGACTGTAATTTAACTTACAATTCAACTTTCTGGGCAGAAGTTTATTGAAAATACATGTGCTTGAACATTGAGGTAAAGGTTACCAGTGAAGTTCAAATTTGTGGAGAGCTGTTGAAATGGAAATTTTGTGCCACTTTTTGCTTCTTTGCATATGCCTGCCAATGTGTTGTAACAGTCCCTGAAGCCTGTGGAAAACTTGTTAATGTCTGTAATGCTCATTTAATCATTTCAATCTTGTATTTATTCCCAGTCATAGCAAAATGAAAAAATATCATTTCTCTGTCTCTCTCTCTCTCTTTTTTTTTAAATCTCCCAGGTAGTCACTTTGGTGACATTGTCCAGTTCTCACAATGTATCATTCCTTATCTGAAACTAGACACCCTCTGCAGCCAGAAGAACAAGAAGTGGGCATCGATCCCTTGTCAAGTTACTCAAACAAGACTGGAGGTGAGCTTTCTATGCAGATACATTCTGGTTAATGGAAAACCTAGCAGAGAGCCTCTAGTTAGCTCTGCCTGCCTCCTGTATGTAGTTCTTTTCATGAAGCGGAGCAGGGTATCTTGAAGCACTCTTCCCTGGATAGGTAGAGAGCACTCTGACACTAATGAATACCACACAGCATCAACTTTCAATTATAGACAGAAGCATTAGCCAAATGTTTAATGCACTGTCATTCTTAAAAAAAAAAAAAAGATGAACAATTACTTCAGCATAGGGAATGGCCTTTGTCAGACATCCTTTAAAGAAGTCTTAAGCTTCTGGTGTTGATTTTACAGGGATTTTTTGCCTTTAAAAGTAAGTTGACATTATTCCAGGATAAAAGACTTGCCTCATTCTCTCTTCTCTCTCTCTCTTTTAAAGTAATTGAGATGTGTGTCTTACTTTTAGAGATCTATACATTGAAATTGTTGAAAGAATAAAAGAGACTGTTAAAAGGTAAACTGCATTCAGGGTCTACCTTATAAAAATTTATCAAATGTGTATGTTTCAGAACTCTGTTTTGTTTTCTCTGTATTGGTAATAATATAGTATCTGAAAAAGGAAGCTGTCAGTTTGTGCAAATTCTTAAAGCCTTATCTTTATTTTTAGTTGATTCATTGACTCAGGTTACTACTTGTAATTTTTTGCTCATGAAATATATACATCAGGATTTTGAGCTGTATTTTAAAAAAATCACAAAGTGATTCACATATATTTTGTTTACTTCAGATTCAATTTTTTTTTTCTATATTGGTAGAAAGGTCTGCTATTAACTTGTGTTTTGGGAATTAAAAAAAAATGATTCCTTAAAGTGGTTATTTCTTTAGTGCACAAAGCTTGACTTTATGGAGTGTGTTTATGGTTTTTGTGCATCTTTACTTCCTTCTACATCATACAAATGCCATTGTTGTTTTCAATGAAAATAGTATAATTTGGGGGCACCTGGTGGCTCAGTCAGTTAAGTGTCTGCCTTCGGCTCAAGTCATGAATTTAGGGTCCTGGGACTGAGCCCCGCATCGGGCTCCCTGCTCTGCGGGAAGCCTGCTTCTCCCTCTGCCTGCCACTCCCCTGCTTGTGTGCTCTGTTGGGTGCTTGCGCTCACGCTCTCTCACTCTCTCTCCTTCTCTCAAATAAATAAAATGTTTAAAAAGAGTATAACTTGGGCGCCTGGGTGGCTCAGTTGGTTAAGCGACTGCCTTCGGCTCAGGTCATGATCCTGGAATCCTGGGATCGAGTCCCACATCGGGCTCCCGGCTCAGCGGGGAGCTTGCTTCTCCCTCTGACCCTATCCCCTCTCATGCTGTTTCTCTCTCTCTCTCTCAAATAAATAAATTAATTAATTTAAAAAAAAAAAGATTTAAAGAAAAAAAAAAGAGTATAACTTGCCCTACGACTTATTTTTGTGATTTTACTTTTTATTTTTGTGTGTTTATTGAAAAGGTCTCAAAAGGACTGTTCAAGGTTTTAATAATATGAAAAAAATTGTTAGTATCTTAGCATCTTAAAAATTTCAGTGGTAAGAATACTACATCTCCTAGTGATGTTTTTTTTAAGTGTAGTATCTATAAGAAGCACTAATAATTAAATAAGTCAAATTATTTCACAAGCTTTTCTGTAAGTGGGTATTTTAAAAATAAATATATTTTATTTATAAGTATATAAAATAATTTCACCAAAATTTTCTGATTTATGTGCTTACTTTAGAACACAGTTGTTTTTGTTTTTTTTTTAAGTATGTATTTTTTCTGGTCTAGTTCATTAAATACTGAGGTTCTATTTTTTTTATTTTAACTGGTTAAAAAACATTTTAAATTAATTTTATCCTTTACTGTTTGCAGGAATGAGTAGTTACCTTTACTGAAAAGGCTTTTCGTTTATATCCTAGCCTAACATTTCTATGACATACAAAGTTATTAGGAATGAATTGATGTTTAAAAGTGCCATTAATTCATTTACCCCAAATGTTCATTAACAATGTAAATGTATGCTGATGTTCTATGAGACAAGGAAGTGACTAATGACTCTTCCAACTAACAACACTTAAAATGAATAGAAACTTTAGATAGCTAATCTTGAAGTAATCAAGACCCTCATTCAGCTTGGCATCTCTGTATGCTCTAAAACAGCTGTCAACTGTTAAAAATATATACAAAACACACATACGCACACGCACATGCAGAAAGAATGATATGTAAATATCTAGTTCTTGAAAGCCATGAAGGTTACTAACCATAGTGGGTTTTGTGCATTGTATATGTAAATATTTTATATGAAGCAACTATTTCATCTTCTTAGATTTCCTTTTAGCAGAAAAGCATGTGTTGCATTTTAATAGGGTTGTCATATTTATTTGAAGAATCATCACCTTTCTAGTGTGTTTGTTTATTTTAATATATGTATTTCATGGGGCTCTCCACGTATTTGAAGCCTTTTACACATTTTTCCCACCAGGGAATTTATGGCAAATGGATACCTCATTTTGTAAGTAGTCAAACACTGGACTTAATCAGTGGTTTCTCTATGTAGAAGTTACGTTTTTATGGTTTTGTTATTAATTCTTGTTAAAGATTCCATAAATAAATAAGTCTTCAATTTCTCAAAACTGAATTTTAACATTAATAAAGAAACAGTACATTATTGAGTTAAATGATTCTGAGTATTCTGGAAAGCATTAGAAAAATAGCCTCATCATAGGAATAATAAAGAGAAAGCTGCTTCTTACTGGTTTATTTTCATGGATGGTGGCAGAAGGTCCGTAAGAACAGAAAAAAGAACTGTTTGAATATATATATGCAGAATTTTCCATGTGAATCAGACTTTTAACTGCTTGAATTTCTTTTTTAAATGGAGAATAGCATAGAAATTATGACATATTTCTCTGTGTCCTGTTTGGTCGCACACATAGTTTACTACTTTAAATTCCAAGATCTTTGATCAAGGGTTATCAGTTAGAAATTGGCAAGTTACCTGTAATTCAGTTGAAACCATAAAAAAACCCCAAAATGTTTGTTCAACTATTCATGATTATTCATTTGGAGGAAAAGAACATTTTCCTCTATTAAGTCTCTTTTGAGAATAGCACTTTGTTACATATTGCCAGAGTTTTTAGCTTCAATTTTATATGCCTTCTTACTTACAGCTTTTATAGTATTCAGATAATTACTTAATGTAATGCTTTTTATATAATATCTGTTTCAAAGCTTTCTTTCAATCTTCAGGGATAAAATATTTAGTAACCTACTTAAAAAAATCCAAGACATTCAGAATATCCTGCCTACTCCATTTTTGACTCTTGTAATTTTTTGTCCCCAATATTCCTTTCTTTCTGTTGTAATATCATAGTTTTAGAACTAGAAGGGCATGCCTGGCTTTATTGCTGAACAAATTGGTATTGATTAAAATAGTTCACTGAAGTTGATATAATAAAATGGTGCTCTCCTATTATGATCTTTAATATTGTTTTCCATATAGCAGAATTATATTTAGATTTGAGTAAAAGATGAATTTGTTTTGGAAAGATATCTGACAAAAGTATAGGATGCTGTCTAAGTCATCTTACTTTAAACCCTGCCTTTGCTGTAATTATAATTAGAGGGAATCTTCATAAGGAGGGAAAAAAAATCTTCCTTTCCTGGCTTAAAACTTTTCAGTGGTTTTCCATTGTGCTGATAGTAAAATCCAAACTCTTGACCATGATGTTCACGGCTGTCTTGCCTGTCGGGCCATGGTTAGATGTGCTAAGCTAGTTCTAAACTCTGGACCTTCCCACAGGCCGTTGTTCCCACATTATTCTTGATTCCTTCACAGTACTCATTCTTAAATGTAATTCTGCATTTATTTGTTTCATTGTTTGTCTCCTTGTCTAAGGTGTGAGCATTATGAGGGCAGAAACTATTGGTGTATCTGTTGGCGCACAGACACCATTGAATTAATAACAGATGAATGAATTGTATTTTACCAGTTTGAATTCCTTCACTTCATGTATCTTTTTTCCATCTACCTTTTTCCTTTCTGTCCTAAGTTGTAATGTATGAAACCTGTTTTATCCTCTGATTGTTTTAGTACTTTAATTTTTGTTCTTTCAGGGCTTCAAAAGTCAATATAATCTCCTCTCCTCTTTTGGTCTCATTGACCTCTCCCTTCTTTGAAATCCCTCTTAAAATTCACTTTTTCCATGTGTTCTTTATTTTTGACCCAAATCAGAATTTCCCTAAGAACCAACAGAAGAGAATATTCTGGCAGATAAAGGTCAAGCTGTGATATCCTTATTAACCCATAGCAAAAATTACTTAGCAAGGGAAAGCTAAGGAAATAAATGATTACTTGTCCAAGATATTTATGGCCATAATATGGGAGCATAGACTAAAGTATGCCTACATTTAATATACATGTTTCATATATGTAGCTCCTAGTGAAAAAATCTACAAAAATACATTCTTAATTTTTGATTTCTATAACTTAGTGCAATTTATAGAAATATTGTTTATTGTGCATATGAATGTTGCTGTTGTGCATATAGATTGTTGTGGAATCTTGTCATTCAATAAATATTTGAGTGCCTTCTGTGTACTGGGCATTGTTTGAAATATTTGGAGTGCTGGAAAGAAAGCATTGAAAAAGATAAACATAATTCTGAGTGCCAGTTGTAATGGTTAATAGCCAGGATTTGGGGGATCTGAAAGAGAAAAGTAAATGGCCAGTTAAGATGGAGAATGGTTAAGTACTTTCATAAAGTAACTAGTAGTATGCTCAGGTAGTATGTTGTTGGGGAATTTAGCTTAAATTTGTGGTAGTGGTATGTCAAGGAAGGTGTGATATCTGTTTAAGCCACAACCCGAAGGATGAATAGCTGTTAGCCAGTGATTGAGTGAGTAAAGAGTATGTGCTATGAGCTTGCCCGCTGCCCTCTTCAGTGTGGTTGGAGGCTAGCATTCAAAGGAGGTAAGGACACAAATGAGACTGAAGAC